TATCATCGATGTAAACCTCCATTGTTCGTCCGAACTTGTCAGCGAACATCTTATTGACGAGTCATTGATAGGTTGCTTCAGCATTCTTTAGGCCGAATGTCATGACTTTGTAACAGTACGTTCCGCGATCAGTAATGAAAGAAGTTTTTTCCCGGTCATCGGGGTGCATCATAATCTGGTTATAACCGGAGAAAGCGTCCATGAAGGTGAGGAGCTCGTTCCCGTATGTTGCCTCCACGAGTCGATCAATATGAGGAAGTGGGAAACTATCTTTGGGGCAGGCTTTGTTGAGGTCTGTGAAATCAACGCAGACGCGCCACTTCCCACTTTTCTTCTTGACCACCACCGGGTTGGCGAGCCATTTGGGGTATCAAACTTTGATGATCGATCCGGCATCTAGGAGGCGATCGACCTTGTCATTGACCGATTTTGCTCGCTCGGGACCAAGTCGGCGGCGTTTCTGCCTGATAGGTTTAAACGTTGGGTCGACATGGAGCTCATGAGTGGTGATTGTCGGGTCGATTCCCTTCATATCGGAGGTTGTCCAGGCGAATGTAGAAGCGTTTTGTTGAAGGAAGGCGACGATGCGCTCCTTCATCTCATCCAGTAAGTAGGCTCCTACGCAGACTATCTTGCTCGGGTCATTTTCGTCAAGAACAACCTCGGTGATTTCTTCCTTCTGCAGGTAGATTTTGTGAATGGAATTTGCTACGACGTTGATATGGGAATTCTCCCGTTGGAGCTTAACAGCAGCGACCAACATTTCGTGAGCTGCCTGCTGATCACCTCGCAACGTACGGATCCGACCATCGTTTCCCGGGAATTTGACACATTGGTACATGGTGGACGAAATCGCCTTCATCGAATGGAGCCAAGGAGTCCCGAGTATGACGTGGTGAGGTGCGACAGTATTGATTATCGAGAACTTCACGGCCTTCCTTACTCCGCCTGCGTACACGGGGAGACGAATTGTTCCTATCATTTCCTAGGAAACCCCGTTGAAGCCCGTGAGAGTTCGGTTGGAGGGCTTCATCTGTCGGAGGTCAATGTCCATTTTCTCGAGGGTGCCGAGGAAAATGAGATCCACAGAGCTACATGTATCGATGAGGACTTTGGTGAC